ATTAGTAGGAATAAGCCCTAATACCTTAAAGGCCTTTTAGTAGTTAACCTTTATAAATATATTAAGGAATATGTCCCTAAAGGCTAGTAGGAAGCTTTTCTTATTAATATAGAAGATTTGTTAGTATACTAAGTCTTAAATATATTAGGAGTACTTACACTTTAATAGCAAGAAATAGACTATATTAAGTAGCTAGAGGATATATAATAAGTAAGGTAGTATATAGAGAGTAAGGATTTTATTCTCTAGTTAATAGTCCTTAAAATCCTAGTTAAGATAGCTCTTATAGCTGTCTAAGATAAGTAACCTATATACTCCTACCTAACACGTCTTTATATGCGTGTTAAAGTGCTTTAACTACTTAAGGCTAAGCATGTTATTTATCTAACTATTTATAGAGACTAAGAGCTTCTAATTATAGGGTATATCTGTCTCCTTATACTAGGCAGAGATATAGACGCGTCCTTTGTAGATAATAAAAGGCAGGGTTGCATACCTAGCAGCGCAGATGCTCTAGATAACAGTAACCTACTCGTGATCGCCTGGCTGAACAAGCTCTAGCCAAGCACGTCTCTCTAAGCCTGTTACAACCTTTAAAGACAAAGCAACACCTATCTAGAACCTAGTTTTATTAAAGTTGTGCATGTTATTATTGCAAACACTATACTTAACTTAAGTATCCTCTACTAGCTTAAACTACACGCTAATTATCTTAGGATCTTCCTGTAGTATCCTCTTTCTATCCTTAGCTTAATTAAAGCTATTTTAAGCTTGTCTAAACGCGTTATAAGCCTGCTAGCCTATTATTTGCTAACAGGCTCTTCACTACGCACACTAAGTATCTTATTAGCTATATCTGCCACCTTACATAGCTAGGGCGCAAATCCTTGCAAATTAAGGTTAAGTATATACTAGATAATTGTCTGCTCCTCTAGTATAGTAAGTTTCTAGCAATTAGCACATATGTCTAGTTAAAACGTGATATTGCAAAGGCAATTAGAGACCTGCTAATAAGGTATGTTCAACACTCTAGCAGCGCTGCAGATACTGCGAAATTAGCTAGCATAGAAGGCCTAGATAGCAAGGATAACTCTACCTTCTCTAGTAGTATTCTAAAGTTGTTGTTGTTAAGGCATGTTATATTAGGGTAAAAGGTGGTTGTGCTAATAGAAAGTAGCTAGTTTAGTAATTTAGCTAGCTTAGTAATAATCTACGTTAGTTGTAGTTGCAGTAACTTGTGTTAGTTGTGCTAAGAGAAAATAGCTAGTTTAGTGATATAGCTGGCTTAGTGATAATCTACGTTATAACGAGTGTATTGTGTTCTTCTGTGTTCGTTGTGTTGTTTGTATCTTTGCTCTCCAAGGCTCGCTGCGGGGTCTATTTTGATGACGTCTTTGTGATGCAGCTGAGGTAAGAGGTGCTCAACAACATGAGGAAGTAGCACCAGACCACCGCCAACAACAGGTGATCTGCTTCTCCTCTCAACCGTTACAGATTGTGTAGTGAGGTATAAGGCACGTTACATATAGCTGCAGCATGTCACAGTGTAAGCGTCGCGTCTTGTTTAATTGCCTGGTCCCGTGACTGGGATAAGCTCGACCGTCGTCGCTGAAGCGACTCCCGCCACGTACATTCCGCAGTGCCTTGATAACAACATCAAGGCGCGTGCTAGCGCCAAGTATTCCGCCTCTTCCTACGCTTTCTCAAGCATCCGAACTGTCGCCAGTGTCTTTTCCGCCGAGTTCTGCTGCCAGAACCGCGCCCTTGACTTAATTCATTTCTCGTTCGCCTGGTTCCGGGCGGCTCTTCCTACCTCATCACCTCTGGTGCTGACCGCAGCGCTGATCCGCCACCGTTCGTTGTCAGCTCGCAAGCTATCAGTACTGGTGCTACAGGGTATGTTCTTAGTAATGGCAATATCCTGGTCAGATTTGTGTCCCTGGAATGGTGTAGCGGACGGTGTAAACAAAGCTCAGAATGATGCATAACGTGACTCGCGTATTAGGTTCTGAGGTCTTTTAGCACATGTCTGCCTCGTGCATACAAAACTGTACAGTCTGATTCACATCTTCCCAGTGAAAACAAGCTCCCCTTAGAATCTCCAGGACCAGCCGTCGTGCGTCAGAGGCTCCATCGCCGGATGTGCGGCCTCTGCCTTAACATACTCTTCATCGATGGCTTTTCTCTTTGCCTCGCTCCGAACTTTCAACAGAACAGGCATGTGCTCGCCCGGATTGCCAGGCATCTCTCCAGGATAGTCTCTTGGATCCAATGGCAATTTAGCATTTGGCGCCGGAACAATTTCGAAAGCCCACACCAAGCGCATGATTGCAATCGCAAGTGAGCGTTCAGCGACGTGGTATCCAGGACAAATACGTCTTCCGGATCCAAACGCAAAGTGGTCGCGGTCTTTCACGTCGGCAGAGTTCTTGCTCTGCTCGCTGGTCGTCAGATCTCCCTCATATCGTTCGGGCCAGAAGCGCTCTGGGTCGGCGTGCCGATTTGGATCGTGACCAATAGCCCAAGCATTGAGGTGGATACGAGACCCGGCAGGTAGACGAACCCCGTTGTATGTCAGCTCTTTGGTCACTATGTGGGGGTGGCCGAGCGCAACTGGCGGGCGCCAACGCCAAAGCTCCTTCATCAGGTAGCGAACATATGGGATGGACTCGAGATCTTCATAAACCGGTAAACGTTGTGCGACTCCAACAACAGCTTCGATCTCAGCGAGTGCCTTGGCCTGGACATCAGGGAATCGCATCATGGCCTCGAGGAATGACCACGATGACATTTTTGATGTATCAGCAGCACCCATAATGAGCATGAGAGCCAGATAGGCAGCCTCCGATCGGTCGCTGAAACCCATACTCTTCTCGTCCTGCAGCACACGAGCCAGGAATGAGTCGTTCACTGTACCCGCCTTGATCGAATCCTCAACTCTTCGCTTACGCTCGTCGCACCATTTCTTGTTGTCCTGGAAGAGAGCTCTAGCTTTCTTTTCCCACGGCTTGAAAAATAGGGGTAGTCTGTCGAGGACTGGCAATATGTCTACAAGGTGCGAGCCTGGTAGAGTACCAAGGATCTGCTCCAAGCCGCTGCGGTAGATATACTCGATTGCTGGGTCTTTCTCGTCTGGAATGTCCATTCCAAATGTCTGGCTTGCGAATGCGCTGTAGGTGTACCGACCGATCTCGTTGAACAGTCCAACACTGTCACTGGCTAAGTCATAGTCGTTGGCGACTTGCTTCAAGAACTTCGCAGTCTCGAAGTGCAGGTACTCAATACCAGCATCAGCACGCGGCACGCTGGTCATGCCTTGCAAGATGACCTTTCTTTGCTGTTTCCACCGTAGATGACTTGCGTTCAAAAGCAGGACATTCTTTTGATCGCAAATCTGCTCATTGCTAACGATCCATCGTGGGCGCTCCGAGGTGGTGGCCGATGCTTTGTCGAAGATCGCTTTGACAGCCTCATCACTATTGATGAAGTATTGGGTGAATGGGCCAACTTGAACGCGAACGATCTCGCCACAGCTGCGAGCGTATTTTTCGAAGAGGAGATGTTGCGAGCCTGTTTTTGTGGACTTAATGACATCGAGGGCGTTGCCTAGAAATGGTACACCTGCTGGTTGTGGAGGCAATGGCAACTTTTTTCTGTCCTCCAGCCATGTCTGTAACCGTAAAAGTAGGTAGATAGTTGGTGCGCTCAGTAGAGCCACCACTAGAATCGATGAGGAGATCATATTGTTATTTCAATCCTGCCAATGCATATCAAACTCGAAGAGGCTTTTAATGAGAGGTGACAGTACAATGTTAAGTATGTTGTACAATCTAACCCAAACCCTGCGAAGCCACCCCCGCTCGGACAACTAAGCGACGGAGGTCTGATTGGATACGAAGCGCATCCGGTTGAGATGAGTGGCTTCATGCTTCCCCGGCCCTTCTCCATCCGCGACATCCGAGTGGCCTTAATCATCAGCTTTGGGGTGGTAAAATCTGCCTGTCCGTACCGGTATCAGAAGCAAGACCGAGACGTAAATGCCGTATTGGAAATGTTGTTTGTGATTGGCTCTTTGCGCCTGACAAGATGCTCTCGTGCCCACTTACCAGGGATTTGCGGAGCTCCGCATCGCTCGGGGCCCGGATTTTGAACATCGTTTGAAAGTCGGTAACCTCTTCTCTTCGTACAACACCGCATCGAATGTGCAAACGGTCATACCGTACATTAACTAGATGTTTCCATCCAGGGTTCTTCTTGAAGTTCCGCCGCATCCGCGCACTCCCCTGACGCTCGCTGCAAGAGCCCAACAGCTGACAGGGATGGGAGACAAGCAACGTGGGCCTCTGATCTGATCTCAGCCAAAAGTCTACTGTGTACAACGAGCGACAGCACATCCCCTCTTCAGAAGAAGGCCCTTGAGAGATAAGGAGCATGTGCAACCTTAGGTGTAGCGGCATTCGGTCACATGCAGAATTTGGGAAACCCCAGATACCATCTGGGCAGGAAAGGAGAGGAGATAGCCTCTGGAAGAGAAAGCAAGAGATAGCCACAGCATATGACATAGGAACCGAGATCGTAGGGAGATTTGAACTAGCAGCGGCGCGTTATTGTTATTTCAGGTACAGCAGCGCAGCTGTCTTGCGGTTGCCTGAAGGCTGAAGAAGCTAGATCGGAAATTTTGTAACGGTTGAGAGGAGAAGCAGATCACCTGTTGTTGGCGGTGGTCTGGTGCTACTTCCTCATGTTGTTGAGCACCTCTTACCTCAGCTGCATCACAAAGACGTCATCAAAACAGACCCCGCAGCGAGCCTTGGAGAGCAAAGAGACAAGCAACACAACAACACACAGAACACAATGCACTCGTTATAACGTACTCTATCACCGAGCCGGTCATATCACCGAACCAGTCAAAATCTGCCAAGACCAACACAACTCCGCACTTTACAGTATGTCTCAACAACATCACGACTTATTGCTTCATTACAAAGGGAGACTGCAGCTTGCTCTCTAGGCCTATAATACTGGACAGTTTCAGAGCCATCGGGCTGCTGCTGCTACGTTTAACGTTAACCAGCGCAGGCTCTCTGAACGCGCCAACAATACTCCATTTTGACTCAACGTACGCGCAAACTGCTAGAAGCTTACTGCAACTAAAGAGCAGACAATTGTCTAATATAACGTAGATTATCACCAAGCCAGCCATATCACTGAACCAGCCATTTTCTCTTAGCACAACTAACACAAGTTACTGCAACTACAACTAACGTAGATTATCACCAAGCCAGCCATATCACTAAACTAGCTACTTTCTCTTAGCACAACTAGCTTTTACCCTAACACAACATGCCTTAACAATAACAACTTTAGAATACTACTAGAGAAGGTAGAGTTATCCTTACTATCTAGGCCTTCTATGCTAGCTAATTTCGCAGTATCTACAGCGCTGCTAGAGTGTTAAACGTACCTTATTACATCAGGAAAAGTTTTTCCATTGTCGAAATCAGGAAATCATGGCATTGTACTGTGGGCAACAGTAGGACTTGTAGGCCTACAACAGTTATTTAATAACGTAGATTATTACCAAGCCAGCCATATCACTAAACCAGCCATTTTCTCTTAGCACAACTAACACAAGTTACTATAACTACAACTACTTACTATTAAATAGTGACCTAGCATACTGCGTGCTTGTATTAGATTTAGAAGATGTTTCTGCACCCTCCTTACACGTTCATGCGTTGTGTCTAGTCTTGCTGCAGTTCCTACAGCGCTAAACAGTTAACTAAGCTCCTAGTTAACCACCTCCACCCTAAGTCTTCTTAGATAGCTAAGCTGCTACACACGCCTCAGCAGCTACCCGCGATGCTGCTAGGCCATACTCAAGTGTGCCACTATGCTAAATCTGCTTTCTCTTACGCGATTTTCTCTTAGTTATTACTACTAATTGCTCTTTAAGCTCGTGCACGCAGGCCTTAATAAGGACGTTTTTATACAGCATCTCTTTAGCCCCTTTTATAAGCTTTAAGAACCCCTCTTATGCTATACTTAGTAATTATTAGAAGGAGTTACTTACAAGCTTAGATTAAGACTTAAACTTATGTATATTGCTTAGTGTCTTAGATTACTACAGCATTTTAGGTAGAGGTACTACTAGTAGGGTATGCAGCTGCACTTTAAGGTAATCTAACACTACCTACATGTTAGTAGGAACAAGCCCTTATACCTTAAAGGCCTTTTAGTAGTTAACGTGGTCCACCACCGAGCGAATCACCCCACCGAGCGAATCACTAAATGCAACAATACCGTGTCCGTGCGCGTGATGCCCGGATTCGCGTGATGCCCCGAAACACCAAAACAAGCACCTGCAAACATGAGGCTGTAGAGCTACACAGAATAGCTATTATCACGAGATTTTGTAGTGGATAAATCTATACAGATGTGCGATTGTTCTGGCTACCCAAACTTCTTACGTGGAGCAATTTTGCGGCCACAGGAGTTGTATACAGGTGGTGGTGATAGAGAGCGCGTCGCATCAATAGCATGACTACTACTACCTCCACCACTACGCTTTTTTGTTTTTTTTGGCTGCAATTGACGTGAGGCCTGCCGCTTAGCCTGATTAGGCAATTGGGTACTTTTCTCAGCGTTTTTATCGTGTTTTTGGACCTCTCTGGCAGCCTTGCGTTTTGCTACTTCTTCGGCCTCCTTAGCACGCTCTTGGTCACGCTCTTTCTTCTCTCTTGCCCGCTTCTCACGCTTCTCCTGAGCAATTTTCTCGTTGTATGCCTTATTAGCACTCCTTGTCTTAGCTCTCTCACTCTTTTGGAGTTCTTCTGCCTCCTGGTCTTGTTGTTTTGCCCTCTCAAGTGAGCGTGCTCTCTCTACTCTGCTTGGAGAGTAGAATTCTGCTCCACCATGATAAGACTCTAATGGCAGAACTTTCCTCTTATTCTTGTGCTTCTTCTGAGTCTTTAGAACCTCTTTCAGGCCTCTAACCTCGTGGTGGAGGAGAGAATTCTAGATTAAGATGTGGTGGAGTGATCAGCTAATCTTTTTTAACTCCTTACTGCTCTTATCCTTAGCCACCTTGCGTAACAGAGTCTCAATCTTGAGCCAGTCCTTGCCAGAGTAGACTGAAGAAGAGCTGCTGTTGCTATCAGAGGCCTCAGGGGTATCCTTTGCGAAGCGTTGGAGGATAACGTTGGGTTGAAGAGGTTGGTTGGTTGGTTGGTTGGTATTCATTTTACGTCTAGTTGATGAGGATGAAGTCCATCATCTCGCCTCCCGAAGGGCATATACGACGTGCTAAGCTATGGAATTACAGTGCTGCCACTACCTTAGAAAGCATTTCTTGCCTGCGCGGATATTACTACCATTTCAGAACTACAGCTCCCCGTCCAGTTGAGGAGACTGAGCTGTGTGTGTACATTAGGGTGGATCCCTTGTGTGTGTTTAGAGGCAGTTAAGTGCCAGAGAAGTGGGAGAGAGGAAGAGTAGGAGGGAGAGTAAGGAAAGAGTACAGTTGTTTGCTGCTGTTGCAGCACAGGGTGAGCTACCAGGGGCAGACCTTGGTGTAGTACTGTGTGAGTTGGACAAAGGCTTCAAAAGCCTCTGGATCCCCAATCAGCGCGGCAGTATACGCTAGGCCATCGTTCCGGCTGGATGGTGGTATAGGTGGTCGAAGTGGCCATCGGCCAAAGGCTCCTAGGGTCTTGCGGCAGAGCGCAAGGTGCTCTGGCGTCTTGTCGCGTCCGCATGAACAGGTGAGTGTTGCGTTGTTGTGGCCAAACTTTTGGTGGTACCATGCGAAGTCGCCGTGCATAGATCGAATTGAGAGCAGTCTGGCTAGGGTGGCTCTTGGTAGGTCTAATTCACGTAGTCTGCTGTGAAGTGAGTAGCCTAGCTCCCATCTTCTGTACCATGTAGAGAGGCTTTCTTTCTTCTTAGACCACCAGGTCTGCTGTGTGTCGTGCAATGTTTTGCGAGCGATGGATTTGATGCCTGCTAGTGTAGGAACAGCAGCCTTTCCAGTAGGGAGTGATGGGTAGTGGGCTTCAAGGTTTGCTAGCCTATCGGCCGCTTCGTTTCCTTCGATGCCTAGATGTCCAGGGGCCCATTTGACAGAGACGTCGTGTGTCTCCATGGCACCATGGCACTCCAGGAAGGCCCATTGAGAGGTAGGGGATGCGCTGCCCTTTAGGCACCATATAACTGAGGTGCTGTCTATGCACAGCCAGATTCGGCGAGTGTTAAGGGCTGGTTGTCTTATAGTGTGCTGGAGGCCCCTCCATGCTCCTACTGCTTCCGCGTCAAAGACGTGTGAGGTAGGGTGGAGTGATCCGCGTCCACTCTGCAGTTGTTTTCTGCCCTGATACACTGCAAAGCCGTAGGTGACCCGCTTTTCTCCTTCCTTTGTGTACTGTTCAGAGCCATCTGAGAAGATGGTGACGTCTAATGGTGGGAGCTAAGCCCACCATTCTTTAAACGCCTTAGCTGCTGTCTTTTTGTCTATTCCAAGCGTTGGGTCTGTTTGGCAGCCAGGTGAGTAGTGAGGGGATGTTAGTATTGTCCTAGGTATCTCAGGCAGAAGAGATCCTAGATACTGGACTTTGGTCTGCATTCGTTGCAGCTTTCCAGCTGTCCGGCCTATACTCATCCTTACGGCTACTGTGCGGCTGGCCAGTGGGTGTTCTGCATCTATAGTGCGTAGATGAGTCGCAAAACGGAGTTTGGCTTCTTCTAGCGCAGTGGCAGCTGAAGGTAGTCCGGCGTCTCGGAAGAGAGTAGCAGTAGGGGTTGTTCGCCACACTGGGAGGATGCCTCTTGCTGCTAACGCTAGTGTTTTGTCCATGACAGCTATGTGCCACCCGACATAGGTGCTGACTTGTGCTGGTCTGCCAGGTTTGAGTGTGCGTGGAGGTTTAGTTCGGCCTCTGTACCAGCACTCAGCCCCATACAGAAGAGACGGGTATACGCAGGCCATAGTGGCCTTGCGGAGGGAGCTGGCTGGTGGTCCGTGTGCCGAGTTTGCTAGGCTGCGGATGTGATAGGCTACCTTAGCCGCCTTTGCGTTGTGCGTGGCTACATGCCGCTTGAAGGTGAGCTTGCGGTCAAACCAGATCCCTAGCCATCAGAGGGCTAGCTGGGTTCTTGACCCGCTTGGTAAGATTAGATTAACTGTAAGCTGCTCGTCTACCACACAGGGTGGCGCGTAGCTGCTCTTTTGTCGGGTGAGGTGGATCATTTCTTGTTTTTCTGGCGCAAAGGTGACCTTGTTAGCTGTGCCCCATGCTCTGATCTGTCGTAGGTCTGCTGCTAGGAGCTCAACATTCTTATCTAGGGAGTGTGAGGCTTGGTATAAGCATATGTCATCTGCGTATCCAAATCTCTTCTTTGTGTCCATAGACAGCAGCTCTGCCAGATAAAGTGTGTACAGGACTGGGGAGAGTGGTGAGCCCTGCGGCGTGCCGCAGTCGACTAGGTAGCTAGGGGTAGTGACTTGACCTAGGCGGACTTGAATCCTTCGATTAGTTAGGAAGGAGTGGATGAAGAGGATAGTCTTTTGTGGCCATCCCTGTTGGGCCATCCGGTGAAGCAGGCGATTCTTGAGAAGAGCGTCAAAGGCGCCTTGCACATCTAAGGTGACCATTGTGACATGCTGGCCTTTTGCCCACGCAGCTTCTGTGTCGTGAGTGAACGCTGCAGTAAGATCTACTGCTGATCGCTTTGGGAGGGCGCCTCCATGCTAAGGGCTAAGGATTTTGTGGGTCATAGCAGTCCACGCGATTCTCCTAGCCACTGTTCGTTCAAGCCCCTTTCCAATGCAGGAGAGGAGTGCTATAGGCCTCCATGATCGGGGTGACGTCCGATCTGTCTTTCCCACCTTAGGTATCATGGCTACTTCTGCCAGCTTCCATTGTGCAGGAAAGTGGTTCAGTTCAAGGCACCGCTGAAAGATCCGTCGTATAAGTTCTCCAACCTGGGCCCAGCAGGCGCGGAGCAGTCGCACTGTAGAGCGGTCAGTGCCTGGGGAGGTGCTGGTAACCCCTATTGTGTTTCGCTCCGACTCCTCTAGTGAGATGTGCGTGCTCCATGGGAGAGGGGCCGCAGTCTCCTGATCTGGGTGGTGGCTGAGATCGTCATCCGCTGTGTACCGATTAAGGACTTCTTGTCTAAGTGCCT